TCTAACCACCAAAACACATTGAATAATCAACAAGTTGTGGGGGTTGAGTTGAGGTTTGACTTGTGCCTAATTTATGGAAGAACGGTAATGGGAGTTGGTTAAAGACAATACCCAATGGAGTAGGTTGGAAGAAGAAGAAGAAGAGGAATAAGAAGAAGCCAGAGAGAGCTTGTGATTGGTGTAGAAAAAACAGAGTTGAAGAAAAACAGAGGAATGGTAGTTTGATGGAAATGGAACAAAGGACAAGGTGGCATCAAATTTAGCAACCGTGCCTCCTTCGGTTGCTAATGCAAACAAAACCCAAAACCTCCTCGCAGGATATGAGGAATTATTTGGTTACTAATGGTTGACTTTTCCTCCTTGATCCTTGGGATTGTGTCCCTTTCTCTGGCTAATTGTTAATTCCTTTTCCCCCTTTTCCATCACGTTGACCCAATTCCTTTTCCCTCATTGGCTCTGTTTTTGTATCTAATCTAACGCTGCAGAATTATTGGGGGGAACCAAGGTAGGAATCCATCTCAGGATCTTAAACTAATCTAAACCCAATAATGTTAATTATGGAGGAAGGGAGTCTCATTCTGCAGCCTGCTTTTCTCTTCCTCTTTTTGCTTGCCAATTATGGGGATCGCCAAAAACAGCTGTTGAAAGTATGGAAATTGGGAAGCAAGGACCACAACTGCTTTATATGAAGGAGATCATCAAAGTGTGTGTGATGGATGTGGGTTGGGATTTGGGAACTAAGCAATGTGGATGGTTTGGAATTTTGGACACACATTCTCTCATACCTAGACACTTTTGAAGAAGTTGGAGTGCAAAACTTACTCAAGGTTGTTGTTTAATGTGTTGGGAATGTAGTAATTCGAGGATATTTGATTTTGTTGAGAATAAAATTTAGGAGTATGAAATTCTGCGTCTTGGTCAGACTCAGATCTAACTACACGAAAAGTCTTGTTTAATTCTCTGCTTTGATAAAAACTTACTCAGGGATCACATCTTGCATTTTTTATTGTGTTTGTACCACAACACGAAAAGTCTGTAAAAACTCTCTAGCTACACTCGTATATTTCATGAGGTAGACTCAAATACGCCTTTGTTTGTCATCAAGTTTCTCCATGTTGACCCAATTTCTTTATTTCATGAGATAGACGCAAACACTTTGGAAAAGTTGGAGTGCTAAACTTACTCAAGGTTGTTCTTTAATATGTGTTGGGAATATAATTGGGGGATATTTGATGTGTAATGCAATGTTGGGAATAAAATTAAGGAATATGAAATTTTGTGTCTTGGTCAGATCTAACTATTTTCTCTTGCTTTATATATTCTATTTGTACCATAACTATACTCTTATATCTCATAAAATAGACCCAAAAATTATTTTATTGGTCATCAATAATGGCAAGAAAATATTGAAATCCATTAGATTTATAAATAGCCAAAGGATCTCAAATGTCTACATATATGAGATAAAAACAAAAATACTCCTTAACACTGCTGGCTTGAAGAGGGAAATATGCTTGTTTGTCAGAATAACAAACATTGCAATGATGTGAAAATTCAACACCTATACTAGAAACAACATTTGTTAACTCTTTAGTTATATGCCGAGAAGCACTATTTCCAAGCCTTGAGTGCCACAAATATAAGGACACAAGGGTAAAGTTGCGTGTCTTCACAGAATTGACATGTATGGTATGATTGTATTCTATGTGATTGGTAAGTTGGTAAATGTCTCTAATCTCTTTAAAGATCCAATCATCTTTATGCTGAAGAAGGTCCTAGATATAACAGAGGTATAACAGAGGTCGGACTTGAAAGTAAGTGGCACAAGTAAAGAGTTAGTGAGTTTGCTAATTGAGATGAAGTTGAAAGAGAAGGTTGGAATATAAAGAATTTCATGTATAACTAGACCATATAGAAGTTTGACAATTCCAAAATGTGTTAGCAGGGTTGTTGGTGGTACCATTGGCAAGGTGATAAACACATTTTGAATGTCAGTGTATCTAATGAAACTAGAATGGAACAACCATGACTTTGTTGCTTCATGTCTTAGAAACTACAAATTGACAAGCTTCAATGGATGTTATAGGAACTATGATGAGAGGATGTGTATATGTACACTTAATTCATGAGGTTAATACTTTTTGGGTTGAGAGACATACTTGGACCTCGAGAAACTAGTCAGGTATGAAACTCTGGAGGGCCGATCTGACTCTTAATTTTCTGTAGTTTGCTCAAATCATTAGTAGAGACTAGAGAGTATGATGTTGGTGAAATCATCTCCAATTTTAGGTAAGCTCATATTCTTTGGTTTAGAAAAAATTCCTCCACTCTTATAATTGTCCAGTTAATCCAAAAGAGACCCCATATTACTTGTTCTTCTTTTTTTTTTCAACTTATAAAGATAAACAATAACATGATTGTCTTTCTTACAATACATGCATAAAAAAACTCCCTTAGTAACTTCTTTCCTTTAGACGGATTAGGGGTAAGCAATGAAACCGAATCAACTCGAGACTCTTCATTGGATTTGGTAAGTTGCCTCTCACATTGAACAATTTAACGAATGTAGTCACCATGGGGTGGTCATGGTTTTCGTCATGAACAAATTGGTTCTAACACCCCACATTGCGGCATTCCGTCCTTTAATGAAACATGTCAGAATTTCATCCTCTCGGCACTTCCTCATAATGATTGTAGTTATACAAGTCACGACTTTATTCCTTTTTGTTCACCACAACAATACGATTAAATATTGTGAGAAATGACCTAATTTATGCACAAATACATGCCGACCGGCCAAAATCGATTCGACACTGCCTATTTGCTTCTCTCGGGTGCAAATTTCCCGACTTTGGGAACAAGGTGTCGTAGTTCTCTACATTTATCATCGTTTGCAACGAAAATTGCCTGATCGATCAGAGACGAGATATCCTTATCCTTCAATTATTAAGTTGTCAAATGGGTAGCTTGCACTAAATTATTATCCGATATAACAATGTAAGAGTTATCATTGATAAACAAAATGTGCCATCAAGTGCAATTAATCTTTAAACAAAGTAATCTCTCCAATAAAACACCAGAATCATTAGTCTCAGTCATACCTGGTGGAATCTCACAAAAGCATCCTATCTATCTACCTATAGGTCGCCGCCCCAACACCAGCGACGACCGCCGCCCACTTTCCCCCCCATTCTATCATGAGCTTTCAAGCGCAAAACTTGCAGAAATGTGAAGGAGAAACAGAGAGATTAATTTAACAAAATGGAAGCAAAGCACATGACCACATGTTTAAGCTCAAAAAGCATCATTATAGCCTTAGAGCTTAGCTTAGCTGCAGCAGAAGACTGGGGGGGAAAAAGAATTGAAATGAAGACCATTAGTCTCAAAGCATGCATGTGGACTCCTCCTCTGCCTTGGAATTTTCTTTTATATCTCTGCTTCTTCTTCTTCTTCCTCTGCTGTCAGTGGGCTAATTTTAGTTTGAAAGAATTCCATCAATCTTTTCAATCATTCAGTGCTTCCTTTACTTTTGTCTCTTCTGTCCTCCATTAATATTATCAGCAGCATCTCTCTCTGCATTAACTCAGTCGACGTGCTGCATGCTCACATTATTGCCTTATTGCCGATCGGTTAGTCCACAGAATGACAGAAACAGAGCTCTCTCTCAGAGAAAGAGGAAAACAGGGCTGTATTAATGGCGAACTACTCCCCATTTATAAGTGTGGGCGGCACAATTAGTTGTAATTATTATTATTATCTTCTTGGTATTTTTTTAATGTATAAACAACCATATTCTTCTGTACAAAATACCATATGAGTGTACCATAAAAATTGTATATGAATATTGGGGAAATACTAAATAGTACAGATTATCTGTTACAACAGAATTTATTTCCTGGCTGGGAAGAAGAGCAGCCCCAGCCCAGTCCAGTCCAGTCCAGCCCACTGTTCTAACCTCACTGGCTGGCTGTAGACCAATAGATGATTAGCCCATTTCTCAATTATTGACTTGGTTTGGTTGAACATGACGGTTTGATATGACATTTATTTGGTGTTGACAACAGTGAAATCCAATCATCATGTGGATCGAAGAGGTATGATCAATGTGTAATTGAGGTTTGTAATGGGATTATTGATGTGATTTGCATGGTTGAATCAAACTAATACGATCAACCGATACTGTCATGAACACGTCATGCTAACGAGCTCGGATGAACTGTGTGCACAAGAATCCCTCAGAGACTTTCCGCAGTTATTACATATGTTTGACTCGGCTTTTAGAAGTGTTTTTACGCTTTAAAAGTTTCGACATGGTCAAACACCTCTAAAAGCTCGGCTTTTAAAAAGCTGAAAAGTGTTTTTGTATAACATAAAAGCAGAAGCTCCGAACCGGAGCTTCTACGAAAAACTGTTTTGAAAATACAAGATTATCCTTACCATATTTTATATTTATTTCAGAAAATATAATTTTCCTTCATTTATATAATTTTAAAAATAAAATAAGTTAAGATTTATTATTATTGAATATAAAAAAAATCTAACAAGATCCATTTTGACAACTTTTATTTTTTAGAAATTTTATTCATAGTTTTAGAAATTTTTAGTCATTTTACATGACCTCTAATATTAAAAACACTTCTAATAGTTGTTCAACCAAACATGGAATTTTTTTTTAAATATTTCTCTAAAAATTTAAACAATAAGCTACTTATGCAAATCTAGCCCATTATGCGATGTTACTAGAAAATGTGGTCTCCCTGAAGTTACGAAGAAATACTGAAATAGTCAATGGCTTTGACTTCATACTAAGAGAGGAGAGAAAGGGCTTGACTCCTGGTTGTCCACATTGGCCTTGGGCCTTACCAAACTTTGTACAAATGGGCTTGAACCCTGAAACTATGGCTGATTGGCTTTTTGCAGCCCTAACCTCGACAAACTTGAGCTTGGTAATCTCATATGGGATGACCTTTTTAGTAAAAAACAGAGTACACAAACTCGTAGTGGGCGGCAAAGATGGCCACAGGATTAGCAACCAAAAGATAAGAGTTTGGCCATGGCGCAAAAGCCATAAAAAAAAAATCACTCGTTGCCTTGTTTGATAACTAGCCCTCTAAAAACGGATGACACTTTCTGGATAGAATTCAGAAAGTTACAACCTTTTGCTCCTCATCTATCTATCTTTCCATGGCGGCCACCATCAAACCAGTACTTCCTCCACCACAACAATTCACTCCAGCTAAACAAACCCTTCTCCCTGCTTCTCCATGGATTTCCTGCAAACCCATTTCCCATGGCGGCCATTCGTCACTCGGCATTACTAGTTCCCCTCACTTTACCAGCAGGCCGCCACTCTCAGCCTCCGTTTCGTTCGACCCATCCAGGAACTTCGACCTCACTTTATTTGACGACGATCAAGGTAATAACAACCAATTCATCCCAATAACTCGAAGCCAACACGAACTGTATCGTCAGAGCGCGTAATTTGACTCCGCTTTTTTCTCGACAGATGCGTCGGATGTAGCGCCGCAGCCGATGCCGCCGAGCCAGGGGAGGTACGAGGTTGTCATCGACAATGGCATCATTGGCAGCCTCGATTTGTCTCCGTTTCGCGATGCTATGCCTGCGGGCATCATTGAAGCTTCCGATTCCCCTGCCTCAGGTAACGAAAGAAAGGGGGGAAAAAACAGAGTCCCCTGAATTTGATGCCTCGAGTTTTTGTTTTTGTTTTTTTTTTTTTAATGCTAAAATTGTGGGTTTTGATTAGCGGATGACGCGAAGCAATTGTTGGAACGAAGCGTGGGATTTACGATAAACTACACGAGGGAGGACCCTCGGGATCCTCGAGAGCTGTCGGAATTTCCAGACGTGAGGCTCTGGTTCGTGAGGCTGGATGCAGCTTATCCATGGCTGCCTGTGGTGCTTGACTGGAGAGCAGGGGAACTCGCTCGTTACGCCGCCATGATGGTCCCTCATCAGGTTAATACAAACAAACCCACTTCTTGTTTCCTTCGACGGTGCTTTACAAAATTGTTATTGAATCAATCCAACAGCTAAGATTCGATCTTTCTGATGTCGAGTCATGTTTAGAGAGTTCGTTGCAAGAATTGATGTTTTGATTGTGTGGGATGCAGATGAACATGAAGATGGGGGTTGTGTTTAATCCGGAGGCGTTGGAGTTGTTTGTGATGAAGAAAGTGTTCGTTGTGTATTCTTGGTTGAAGGAGCAGAATGTTAGCAAGGCGAGATTGAAGACTAGTGATATGGCTAGAATGCTTGGGTTTGGGATTGGAAATGAGCTTTTTGACTTGATTGATAGAAAGTGAAAAATTATTTCTGAATTTTTTTCATAACTCCACATTATGTGTAAAGAGTAGTTTATTATAGATGATTGTTGGTCTCCAATTAACCATCACGTTCATCCAATGATCATAAAATTGCGTATTTTAGGGTTTTTGTTTACATTATTCTCTTGGCCTTGTTTTGTTTTGTGATTATCGTTTGCAAGCTGATATTTTTTTTTAATTTATATAATGGTAAAATAGTTGCAAGATGCTATTGTTAATACAATTTTGCATACCTTTAAATGAATTATAATGAGCTTTGTTTCTTAATTTCTCGGGTGTAAAAATAAAATTTGATGGTATTTTAATTGATATAGTTATGTATAGGCACACGATATGTAGGGGGAACGTAAACAAATTATTGAGATGGTGTGACTGAAAGTAAACCGAATGATCAAAACATAAGTTAGCAATATATAAGGTTCAAAAAGGCGTTAGGCGTAAGGCGGGCGTTGAAACTTTGCCTAGCGCCTAGCTCGCCTAGGCGTAGACTAAGCGTGCCTAGGCGTTGCAAGAAAAATAGTTCGCACTACATGATGAATGAAATAATAATCTACAATACTTCCTCACTTCATTTAAAATGATTAATAACTTACTCAACACTTAATGACAAGAACATAGCTCACGAATTCATATAATCATAGCTCAATAGCTCACAAAGTTCTTCAGCTATCGAAAATATTGATAATGAAAATTAATTTCGTAGTTGACGTTAATTTTCTCCTATAATATTGACGTCCTAGCTCCATCTATCAATGTTTGGGAGAGACTTATATGTCGCCTTACTCCATTGACGTGTTCACGTATCTAATTAGGCGCAAAACCCCAATGCGAGACGTTTTGCCATTGCCTTGCGCCTAGGCGTGCCTAAGCGTAAGATTAAGCGTGCATTTTTGAACCATAATAGTACTTCTTTCATACGGATCAATACCATATTGCAATTCCCGTATAGAAAATCTCATTATTTGTGATTGACAATGCGTTACATATTTTCGTTCTAACATTAAACTAACTCTATGATAAGTCTCAAAGGCATGACCGAACAACAAGGTTACAGAACTGATAATAACCTAACATGGTAGTTTGTGTGCAGTCAAACTCGACTAACAGAGTCTGCAAACAAATCGTAATCGACACAGATATATCGTTTGGTTGCAGCGACATAATCTTTTGATTTTATAAGATCTTTTAAAGAATTCACAGATAGAATTTGGGGGAGGAAAAACTAAATCTGTAGCAGAATGTGCTCGCTAAGAAGAACAATGTAAAGAATACGGACAAACTTCTCCCTATCAGAAGCAACATACTAGAATTTGATACCCTTTGACACACACGAAATAACCAAACTACTGCTAGTTATAGCGGCTACAAACACAATTGGAGGGAGGTGGAAAAAAATAAATATAACACTTCTTCTCCTTTACATTGTCCCTTCTATTTTACCTAAACACATCGTCTCCTTTGATTAGTGTAGCCATAATAAATTTTTAACTTTCACCAATATCTCACAAAGAGAACAATACTAAGCAATGCATTAGACATTGATTGGGTTGCCAAGTATAACTACTTTCTCAACTTATATGTGTTTTTGGTATTATGATAACCTTGCGGTCCCCAACTACGACTCATTGTTAGCGATTCGAATGGGTTGTTCGGCCTGACCACCAACGACCCAATGTTAGCAGACCGATCCAAAAAATTCCTGGCCTTGGACATTCTCAGGTACAGCAGATCCATGTTCGAACTCAGCCCATACGGCGCATGATCAAAAGCAGGCTGGAAAAACAGAGATCCTGTGGATGTTTCAACCTGCAGCAAGGTGGAAAATCGTCATTGGCAACTCTTACAACAGCATGACCAATTTCTGAACAACTTGTCGCCATTAAACCGATGAGAAAGCAGAAAAGAGATACAGAGGATAGATAAGAGAGATACTGCTAGGGGTGTCAAAACGTGTTCGTGTTTTCGGTTTAACCCGAAAATGAACCTTGATGGGTTCGGGTTTTCAGTTTCGATCCGAAAGTGTGATGCTCCGGTTTCGGTTTCACTTTAACCCGAAAACCGATAAGGACCTGAAAAACCCGAAGATGTAATTTGGACTCTCATCCTTCTTTTCGCGGGTTCCCTTCGCGAGAGGAGACGAGTCAACACCATAGTCCATGAAACCGTACCGGAGACCGTACCGGGAAAGTCAGTGGTAGGGTATTTTATGGTAAAACCGTGATTTAACCGTAGTTCAACCGTTATACCGGTAAATACCGTCTACCGGTTTAGCCTCCGATACTGGTATTTCGTGGTTGAACCGCCGATACGGTACGGTTTCATGGACACTGGTCAACACTCGACAATCCTTCGCTGGACATCCCTTCGCCGGTATTAGGGGAAAATTCAAAAAATTAATCGGCGAACTCATCCTTTCCTTCAAGAACGAAACTTTCCCCGACGCATTTGGGTACCGCAAGTCCGCAACTCTTCTCCGATCTGGTTTTAGGGTTTCCCTGGCTTCTTGATTCAGCTCCTGGCTTCATCGATTTCTCCCGACTTCATTGATTCAGCTCAATGAATCACATCACCAAACAAAGAGAGGATGACAGGGACAGTGTTGATGGTCGATGGCGTTGGGATCCCAGGAAGCATATTAAAGTGGCAAGGAGGAGGTAGGCACGGGCAGTTTCCTTTGCCCAAAGACAGAGCTGACAACCGCGTAGAGAGGAATTTGGGATTAGGCTGCGGATCCAGTCGATTTGCATGGAGAAGAGATTGATAGAAGTAGAGAAGGCATGTTTCCATGTCTTCTTCCTTTACGAAGCCTACGGGGGATGTGGCGTCCATAAATCTCTGCAGCAGGGGGAAAATCAATGAGATTCTTCGGTGGATTTGATGAATCTCCTTGAGATTGACGGCGACGAAGAGGTTGAGATGGTGGCCGGTAGTGATTGAAGTTAGGAAAAGGGATCCGCTACCCAGATGCGACAATATGCTTTTCGGGGGAATCGGCGAGGAAGCTACGGGAAAGAAAGAGAAGCGTATCACAGATGGAGAGAGAGAGCGTTCCAATATTTTTACGGTTTCGGGTTGCCTTTACCTGAACCGAAACCGTCAGTGCATATTTCACCTGAAACCCATCAGTGCAGTGCTGCTTTCGGGTTCGGTTTCGGGCATGCAAGTAACGGGAAGACTGTGTTTCGGGTTTTTCGGGTTCGGGTTTGGGTAGGCGACCCGAACCGACACCCCTACATACTGCGGCAGCCATGTCTCTGTTGTTTCGAGGAGGTTCTATATGTGCAGCTTAGTGGATGTCGAAAAAGGGTCTTCGCCGAAATTAATTAATGTTGGAATCTTTCAGTTAGTTGGAGAATGGTGGCGAATCAGGAGTGGAATCGTCAATCGTGCTCGAAATCATCACCGTTTCTGTAGGGCCAGCGGCGGGAAGGAAAGAACGGAGATGGCCGCTCCCCGGAGCAGCTTCCTGGATCCTGAACCGACATGGCAGCCGAAAATATCACCGGCATGGAAAATCTAGTTAATATGCCGTATCATAGCGTTGAATATCGCGATATCTACGCATACCATGACTTCTCTTCAAATTCAAGTTCTCGAAAATTTATCGCGTTTTTATTTTGGTTTTGAGGACCAGAAAAGTTTCGTGTTTCGATCTACTGGTCAACGTTTCTGAATTGTTGTAATGGGTTTCGAAGTTCCTCTGTGTCAAGAACCAGTTGATCCCAATAACTCGAGTTGTTGGGAGAAGGTTTTGCTGGATCTTATACCCTCTCTAACACGCCCCCTCAAACGAAAGCCAACTCATGGGCTTGAAGTTTGCACAGGCCCACCATACCATGTGCTTGAAAGACAACAGTTAATATTTGGGGGTCGTGGAGATTCGAACACATGACCTTTTGGTTCGAGGCTCTGATACCATGTTGGGAAAGTGAATTTGTTGAGAGGAAAATCTGAAAGCAATCTAACGTGATTTGCTTCAGTTTATTGTATTCTGTTTTATACACATTTACAGGAGATACAGTTGAGAGATTGAGGGATAGTGGAGAGAGTACAGGGAGAGTGGAGAGGTTACAGGGCCGAATAAAAGGCAATAAAAGAAAAGAATTTTTATTCTTTTTCTTCTCTAATACGCCCCCGCAAGATGGAGGAGGTGTCAACGACTCCAATCTTGGACCGGAGAAGTGTAAACCGAGAGGCGGGGAGAGGCTTGGTGAGCATGTCAGCCAGTTGTTGCGCTGTCGGTATATAGCGAACAGTGAGGCGGCCAGACTGAACAAGCTGACGGACAAAATGATAGTCGAGAGCCAAATGCTTCATGCGAGAGTGAAACACCGGGTTGGCGGCGAAACAAGTGGCGCCCAGATTATCGGAGAGTAGTGTAGGAGACTCAGTGAGGGGGTGATGAAGTTCCTGTAATAGATTGCGAACCCACTCCAGTTCAGCTGTCGCATGGGCAATGGCACGATATTCTGCTTCAGTACTGGAACGAGCAACGGTCCGTTGTTTCTGAGACCGCCAGGAAATGAGAGTGGAGCCCAAGTACACTAGATAGGCTGAAGTGGAGGTGCGATCATCAAGGTTGCCGGCCCAGTCAGAGTCAGCAAAGGCCGTTACTCGCATAGGAAGGGAGGAGCGCCGGATGGCTAAGCCGTAGGAGATAGTACCACAAACATAGCGAAGTAATCTCTTGAGGCACTGCCAATGATGGGAGGATGGGGAATGCATGTACTGGGAGAGCTTGTTGACGGCGAATGCAATGTCAGGACGGGTATAGACAAGATACTGCAGAGCACCCAGAACTTGCCGAAACCGCGTAGCATCAGTGGGACTAGTGCCATCTTGAAGTGTCAAAGAGACAGTGGAGGCGAGTGGTGTGGAGACAGGAGCAGCGTCCAACATATGAAAGCGAGTGAGGATATCAGTCATGTACTTGTGTTGGGAGAGAATATAACCTGTCGCTGTAGGAATAACCTCGATGCCCAGAAAGTAATTCACATCTCCTAGCTCCTTGAGGGAAAACCGGTGAGCAAGGGCAAGCTGAAAGCCCGAGATAGTGGCAGCATCATTTCCTGTGAGTAAAAGATCATCCACATAGACCAGAAAGTAGAGAATAACGCCGGAGTTGTGATAGACGAAGAGAGACGCATCAGACTCTGTCTTGCGGAAGCCAAACTCAATCAAAAAGGAACTGAGAGCAGTGTACCA